TAGAGTCCATTGTGTCTGCTTTTTCTATAGTGGCACTTGTCTAGGATTTCTGCAAGTATAACTATGTACAATTAAACAGATAAATATAGTTTAAAGTAAGTAAGGGAAACCAAGGTTATAAAGGAGGGAGATAATATAGTGGTTTATCGGTTTGTAGCTATTGAGGAGGGGTGCTATGTATTGGGATCAAGTTTCCGTCGGTGTCTATCCCAGTTAGTGGGTTAATTGCCACTAGGGAATCTTAGGGGCACCACTAAAATGAGGGTAGGAGTCCGGGTTTATATCAGAATTGTGTGATATCCGGATACAGGGTTGTAACGGCACCCCCAGGCATAAAAGGGTTAAACTGCCGTTTAGAAGATCTTCCCCTTCCAGAGATATAGGCATAGCTACTACAGAACACCAAACTCCCGAACTGAATACAAGGGAATGCTCCAAACTCCTGAACTGCATACAAAATAGCACTTCAAACTACCGAACTGGAACCTCACGAATAGCTGCTAGCAAACGAACAGGAAAAGCACCCAAGCGTCTTACGCTCCTGGCAATCAGTCTCTAACAGCATACAGTAAATCCACCCAAAGACGAGACAGAGCTCCGTGTTGAGGGTCAAGCTCCCCTAGGGGACCAGATGGAAGACTGGGACACAAATGGTAAAATGACCAATCAGAGGCATACAGGGTTAAAACACTCCCCCAGTACATTACAATCCCTCCCCTCTATCTTGGAAATAATTGGGAAGTAATCCAATTATCTCCAAGGACAGAGGCAAAACTCCATTACCAACATGGTTACAATAAAACACTAAAATACAATAAAATACACAATGTTACATTTGTCACACCAAATATATACATGTAACCCATGCCCAGATAGCTGGGATCTGAGCGCACAAAAGTACAGAATAGCGCTCAGGTCCAATCGCCATGGAGTCAAAGTGTTCACAAAGTCTGTTCTCCATACGAATAGACTCCACGGGATGACTATCTGGAGTATTGCTGTTCATACGGTTAAATGACCGAATGAACAGGCATCCGGTTAAATGACCGAATGCGGAAGCAAGGAGGCTGATGGCTCAGCGGTGTTCACGCAAATAAGTGTCCGTTTCCAGTTCCATAGTTTGGCGCTGTTCACCGCTGGCCGTTCAGGACTTTAAAATGGCCGCCGCCGCCACGTGTTCGGCAACCGAACAAAGGCCACCCAGCGGGAAATACAAATGGTATACTGGCGCTATAACTCAATATAACACTCTTTAGTTCAATAAAATATTTAAACAAGCTGCTGTAACACCTGGATGTAATCTTTCTAACTTACATCAATATGGGACAAGATGAAAAAAGGAAAAATAGGTGTAGCGCTGTATACATACATATAGTAGAGTTGAGCCTGATGGATTAATAAAGCATCCAAATGGGGGCAATTCCAATGTCTTATACAATCAACCTAAAACAAGCAAAAAAAACTCCAATAGTGTAACACCATACAGTAAATATAATAAAAGTTAAAATGTAACCATAAACTCACATTCTCCTGAGCTTAATGCCAAGCTCAGGGATAAGCGCTTGTAGGTCCGTATAGGCGACCTTCCCCTTCTTTTCACTGGGTTTTATTTCCAAATCGCCTCTAGGACTCAAGTGAAACAGATATAGTATAGCACGTTTATATAGAGTGCTCCCACTTCAAACACACCATATACTCACAAGAGTGGAGCCTCTATATCGGCTCTGTCTCAGTGCGTTGAATGAACTGCAAGATTTTTCAAAGTTTTTTCAAAGCAGGAACCATAAAGCCCATCCAATAATTAAAAAATAGTAATTTTATTACAACACAGGGGTATGGTAAACCCTCTATAAATCTATAAAACACATAAATATAAAAATAAATAAATTAGTAACTAATGGGCATAAAGAGTATCATACACTTCTTCCCAGAATGCGTTTCACCGTAACTCCGACGGCTTCCTCAGCTGGGTCCAATGTGTCTTCTCGAAGTGAAGTTATCCTGCTTATATAGTCATCCTCTTCTATTCTGCTGTTTAAAAAGCGCGCGCTTATTCCGTAGATGTCCGCTCAATGTTTGCGTTCCACACCTCTGTTCTTGTCCAAATCACTTCCGCATATGACGTCCTTTCTCTCGGTCATGTGATCGGACATTGTGTGCGGATCTCATTCAACAAGTCCAACAATTCATAAAAACGGGGAAAAAATCAGGGTGGAAATGAGCATATATTACTGTACCAAAAAGGAACAATCATCAAATTGATAAATATATAATATACCAAATAAGAATATACAAACGGAGAATCTACAGTGGATTCTCCTCTTCACTACCTTTCAGCTTATGTTCCAAAAGGGGATATTATAATCTTAATTACATTCCCTCTATGTGCAATTTTGTCATGTACAGGGATTTAACAGTTACAAAAAACTTATTACATAAAATGACACCAATGTACAATGTATCTTGTTAGTCACTCATTATGGATCGCTATCACTTTAAACACGTTCCATAAAATAGCTCAAAAGAGTTATACAGTCTTACTAAATAGTTCCTTATTCAATTTCACTGTATAGAAGTCTTAAATCTTATCAGCATATGCAGGGACTATCTATAAGGGACGGAGGATAAACAAATAGAATATCTCATAAAAACGAAACATCCCATTAAGGCTAAAAATGTGCGAGAAAAATATATATATATAATCTAGCACACTAAAAAATTCCTGCTGAAGATAACTGCTAAAGATAAAATAAAACCTAAAGAGTTAAATGATGAGGGGGTAGTGGGACATGCTTAACTATCCTTCCAAGAGAGAAAAAATGTAGAATATATATGATAGCACACAGACTAATTCCTAAAGAATCATCAATAAAATTCAAAAACCATAAAAAATATTAAAAATAATAATATAAATATAAATGTTAAAAATCTTGATCTTTTCTTTCTTGCAAAATAGAGTAAAATGTACATAAAATGTTTCTAAGGTTCAATATTAAAGCAAACTCAACTATCCTTCCAAAAAATGGCAAATTTCGAAATCCGTATTGAGTCCATAAGGGATGAGAGTATTAAATCCAAAAATCAAACGCATTTCCTCTCTGCTAAGTTTCTGGTTGAAGTTACCTCCTCTCCAGTCTTTTGAAACCTTTTTGATGCCTAAAAATGATGAACCTAAGGGGGACTGATTATGAAATTGTTTGTAGTGCGCTGATACACTATGATTCTCTGCGCCTTTCATAATGTTTCGGCTGTGCTCCTCTATCCGAAGTAATCCAATTATCTCCAAGGACAGAGGCAAAATTCCATTACCCACATGGTTACAATAAAACACTAAAATACAATAAAATACACAATGTTACATTTGTCACACCAAATATATACATGTAACCCATCCCCAGATAGCTGGGATCTGAGCGCACAAAAGTACAGAATAGCGCTCAGATCCTATGCACACAGTCCAATCGCCGTGGAGTCAAAGTGTTCACAAAGTCTGTTCTCCATACAAATAGACTCCACGTGATGGCTATCTGGGGTATTGCTGTTCATACGGTTAAATGACCGAATGAACAGGCATCCGGTTAAATGACCGAATGCGGAAGCAAGGAGGCTGGCGGCTCAGCGGTGTTCGTGCAAATAAGTGTCCGTTTCCAGTTCCATAGTTTGGGCGCTGAACACCGCTGGCCATTCGGGACTTTAAAATGGCCGCCGCCACGTGTTCGGCAAATGAACAAAGGCCACCCAGCATTCGTCAATTAAGCTGCGGTTAACCGCAGCTTCTGGGAGGTAAATTGCCGACACACTCCCAATACAGGTGGTCCAGTCATTCGGTTGTTTGTTCGGTAGATTGAATCTACCGAACACCGGGCAGAACGGCATGAATAAGCCTTTTCTGCAGGGGAAAAGAAGGCTTTTAACATGGGGCCATAGTCCAAAGGCAACAGGCGAGCAACCAGGCGTCTCCAATGCTTCGTGGCGAGGTTGGTTTTGCCACAAGGGTGTAAGGCCCTGCACGTAGGGAGTGTAAGCTGGGTGACTTCCAAGCGCACCAGCAATCCATGGGGAGTTGTTAGACAATAAATGATGGGGGGAAGGGGAAAGAGATAAGGGGGGGTTATTTGGGGCATCTGGGAGCTAAGCCTGCCTGCGTATAATTGCTAGAACGTTATTTCGGCCTTTGTCACTGCTATCCCCCGCATCTATACAGTGCACGATAACCTCCGGTACAATCATCGTCCCGGCGTACCCGCGGTGACCACGGGTATGCCGCGACGGGCACCCCCACACAGCCCATATTCCAATGTATAAGCAGAGAGATACATAACAGTCTCGGCCCGTGGCCCATCAAGTGTCGACAAGCCCCCGCTCACTGATCAGCCGATTAGTACAGTATCCAATGGAATAGCAGTTACCTCCCACACATCTCCTCCCCTCAGTATGACACTTAATCCTATTACACAGGTTATAGTTTTCCCCAAGTTCTGGATGTACCCTAAGATCAGCAGATACACCAATACTTTGGGTACCCACTGGTAGCACTGATCTGGGTGACTAACATATCCAAAATTCACCCAGATCAGACCAGGGGTTCGGGAGTTAGGTGGAGGGTATAATTTGACCGACCACACACGAGGTGGTATCCGGAAAGGGTTCTATGTTTTTTGGCCCTGCGGTCGGTTTCCATTCGGGAGTTGAAATACATTTAAAAAGCTGCCATCCATGAATACTATTACATTCATATGACTACCCTCATTCGTATGACTCCCCTGATTCGCCTTCCCGTTCGGGAGTTACGAAGCTCTGGAGTTGTCAGTGGTGTTCGGGTAATTGAGTGTCCGATTTGAGTTCCAGACACTCGACGACCAAACACTGCTGAGCCTTTCGATGGCCGCCGCCACGTGTTTGTATGCCAAATGGCGGCCACCCAGATACATACATAAAACACCTATTAGTCTGCAGTTAGCGAGAAGTGTGCAGCTTAACGAGGGACACACTTCACTCTGGGGTGGTCTATTGGTTCGGTAGTTTCCATTCGTATGGAATTCGGATGGAAACTAACGAACAATCATACGAATTCTACTTACAATTAACTATACAGCAGAAATAACACACGAATTGCAGGATTCTCATAGTCTTTAAGGACAGCCTTAGTACCATCCGCTACAATCCATATCAACTTTCGATGCAACTTTCTGCGCCTACCATGGTGACCACGGGTAACGGGGAATCAGGGTTCGATTCCGGAGAGGGAGCCTGAGAAATGGCTACCACATGCAAGGAAGACAGCAGGCACGCAAATGACCCACTCCCGATGTGGGAAGGTAGTGACGACAAATAACAATACAGGACTCTTTAGAGGCCCTGTAATTGTAATGAGTCCACTTGAAATCCTTTAACTCTGATCAATTGGAGGGCAAGTCTGGTGCAGAACGACTCACCCATGCGTGCTGCAGCTGAAACTCCACTATCGCCTGCTGCTACTCGCACAGTCTCTCCATCATGTGCAAGGTGGAGATCCACCTTGTGTGCACATCGCATATGAGGTGGTGAGTGGGAAGGTCAAAGTTACGCTGCAGTGCAGACAGGCGAGCAGCAGCAGGGTGAGAACGCCGAAAGCGCGCACAGCTGCTACAGTGAATGTCACATCCTGTTCCAAGTTGCAGATAAGTCTGGTGATGGCTTCTGGTATCCAGTACTCTTTTTACTGAGGCTGCATCAGGGTCCTGGTATGTGGCCGCACAAAAGCTGGTGCTCAACACCAGGGGGCATGCGGTTACCCTGCACCAGACCCTGCTAATCCATTCCACACTGTGACTCCTAACTTCAACATCAGGCATATTGGGTCGCGGTTGTCCGACCACTGCCCAGACAGTGTCTGGGTCCCGGTCATTGGTCTGCGAAACTGCAAATGGCTCGTTATATCTGTTATGGTTCCTTTTATTGCTCCATCTGTTACTTGGATAACTGTGGGAATAATACATGCCAACGAGCGCTAGGGGACGGCCGCTCCGCTTTTGCACCCTGTTCCCTCTTATGCTGTGCTGGTGCCTCTGTGCGACCAGCACCTCTTCCTCCAAACTGCACACATCACTCGCATGACCTTGATTCCATGTGGGGTCTAGGACCTCATCAGCCTCCACATCATCTTCCACCCACTCCTCAACCCTGTCCTCCTTGCCGGTCTGCACACTGCAGAAAGCAACAGCAGTTGGCACCTGTGTTTTTCCAGCATGTAAAGTCTGCAAAGGACATATGGAAATTGTTTTAGAATTGTATCCAGGCAACAGTTTTCCCTATAAACTGACCTCTCAGTTTGACTTGTGAGGGTATTGCCCCCGAATTACAATATTGTAATATTGGTATTTGACGGTTCTATTTGACTGTCAGATATGAAGTGCAGGCCGCAAATGTACTATTTAGCACCCAAAAAAATTTGAATTGGTCAAACTGCGCTGTAACCACTATTTGACTCTCAGATATGAAGTGCAGGCATCAAATAGACTTTTTAGCACCTAAAGAATTAGAATTTTTGCAACCGCAATGTAAGCACAATATTTGACGGTTCTATTTGACTCTCAGATATGAAGAACACGCCCCAAATGTACTTCTTAGGAGCAAAAAAATGGGAATTTGTCAAAGTGCGCAGTAAACACAGTATTTGACGCTTCTATTTGACTCTCAGATATGAAGTGCAGGCATTAAATTGACTCCTTAGCACCTAAAGAATTATAATTTTTACAAATGCAATGTAAGCACAATATTTGACGGTTCTATTTGACTCTCAGATATGAAGTGCACCGCAGGCCGCAAATGTACTATTTAGCAGCCAAAAAATGTGAATGTTTAAAAATGCTATGTCACAGCACTATTTGACGGTTCTATTTGACTCTCAGATATGAAGAGCAGGGCCCAAATTTACTATTTAGCAAATTAGCACCAAGAAAATAAGAATGTTTACAATTGCGCTGTAACCGCACTATTTGACTCTTCTACTTGACTCTCAGATATGAAGAGCACGCACCAAATTTACTATTTAGCAGTTTAGCACCCAGAAAATAAGAATGTTTACAATTGTGCTGTAACCGCTTCTATTTGACTCTCAGATATAAAGAGCATGCCCAAAATGTACTATTTAGCAGATTAGCACCCAGAAAATAAGAATTTTTGCAATTGCGCTGTAACCGCACTATTTGATGCTTCTATTTGACTCTCAGATATTAACCCCTTAAGGACGGAGCCAAATGTACATGTTGTGAACGAAACAAAATGTAAACAAAACATGCGCTACATGTCTGTCCAACCGTAATTCACCACCTATTAAATGCACTGTAACGGACCGTTTCGCTCACAAGGGGATAAAAACCGTTTAGGCGATAATCCCCTTCCAGATAGACCAGCAGCTACTGCAATCACCAACCTTCCGAACTCCAAACTGCACGTATTCACCAACTCTCGAACAGCAGATACACAAACCCTGGAAGCAGCCGAACAGGAAAAGCCCTACGAACAGCTTACACTCCTGGCAATCGGCATACAGTCAAATTCCCCCCCAAGAATGAGACAACACTTCACTTTGAGGGTTAAGCAGGAACTCCTGATTTATTAACACAACAGGCTTATAAAGGATTCTCCCATGCAAGGGAGGGATTTACAGTATACCAATAGCATAATGGTTACAACCCACAGACTCCCTCCCCTCAGATAACCAGTTAACATAATTAACATGTACATAGTTTTCCTCGAGTTTTGGATGTACCCCAAATACTTGGGGTACATCCACAAATCTAGCCCTAGTCTGGAGGAACAACATATGTGAAAATCAGCCCATTCGGATAAAGGGTTCGGGAGTTATGGGACTTTAAAGTTTTGACCGACCGCATGGCAAAAGTATCCGAAAATAGTTCCACGTATTTTGGCCCTGCGGTCGGTCACAGAAAAGTGAACAAAACACATGAATGGCCTGGGTTATAGAGCTTGGGGAGGATTCGTATGAATCCCCTTGTTCTTGTGATCCTTTCTACCGAACGGCGGGCCGTTCGGTAGTTTCTGCACGAATTGCTGGAAGTCTGGAGGTCTCAGCGGTGTTTGCCTAGTCGAGTGTCCGATTTTAGTTCCAGACACCCAACGGCAAAACACCTCTGCTTGGGAGTTTAAGATGGCCACCGCCCCGTGTTCGTTTCCCGAATGGCGGCCACCCAGAGGACAAAGAACACATTACATAGACTGCCAATTACCCATTTGCAACATTGTTGCAAACGGTAATTGGAGGCACACTTACTCCAGGGTGGTCTGGTTGTTCGGTAGTTTCACTCAGTATAATGAATGGAGTGATTCTACCGAACAATCAGGGGAATGCTGCATATACATAACACTGTTTACCGAACACATAATATTAAATACCGCCTGAATGCAATCTGCTACACAGTTTTAAAGGGCATTATTCTAACAGTCATAATCTGTCCACGGATGGCCCTTAAAGGGCTAGTAGCAGCTGTAACGGATCACCTGGCACCCCGACTGGGTACCTCAGTTGAAGGAAGCTCCTAACGCTTCCTGAGGACTCCAAGCACTGCAGCAGACACCACAACCACCGAACCAGAGAAGCATATGAATGCTCTCAAGCATATGAATGTTGTATACAGCCAAAAAGGAAAAACCATGCGAATAGGTTTACACTTCTAGCAGTCAAACTGGAACAGCATACAATAAATCCTCCCCCAATAATGAGACGACACTTCACTTTGAGGGTTAAGCAGGAACTCCCTGTACTGTCACATACAGTCTCTTTTATTCCCAATCCACAAACATAGTACAGCCCACAGGGCGTTACAAAACAACCAATCAATCCGTACAATACAGCCAGACACTCCCACACAAACTCCTCCCCTCTGCCTGTGATATGATTACTGAACACAATGGGTAATCTCATTATCACCGGCAGAGGAATACAGTTTTTACACAATATTTATAACTTCTAAAATATACATGTCACAAACATAAAACATACATTTTCATAATCAATCCATTCAGGGGAACAACATATTAAAAAATGGCACGAATCAGACCAGGGGTTCAAAAGTTAAGGGAAAGTCCTTTGTGACTAAATGAAGCATGGCTTTCCGGCCCAAACCAGTTTCAGAGTCTTCTATCCTGGAGATTGAATTGAGAAGTAATTCAATTATCTCCCAGGACAGACACAAGACTCCATTATGCACATGGTGAGCACAAAGCATTAAAATATTATAAAATACACAAAGTCACATTTTATACATAAAACACAGACATGTCACATATCCCCAGATAGCTGGGATCTGAGCGCACAAAACTACCGAATAGCGCTCAGATCATATTCACACAGTTCAATTGCCATGGAGCAGAAGTCTTTAACTATACGAATGGGCTCCATGGCATAGCTATCTGGGTTAATACCTTCACATAAAGTCTGGTCCATAGTCCAAAGGCAAGAGGCGGGCAAGCAGCCCCCTCCAAAGACACGTGGCGAGGCCGGTTTTGCCACAGCAGCAATATAAAATACCACATGCCCAAATATTGCATTCAAAAGTACAAATTCACAAGGGGCCATAGTCAGCAGGTAGGAGGCGAGCAACCAGGCTTCTCCAGTGTACAGTGGCGAGGTTGGTTTCGCCACATGCACCCACCCTTATTATATATCATTTTATTCAGGGGAAACAGGGCTTTCATTTAATATCAAATATTTAGCTATGAAACATAATTTATTATGAAACAAATGGGAGAAAATAAGATTTTTTTTACATTTTTTTTTGTTCTACATGACATTTTAACGGTCAATGTCATAATACTGTTTTCTTTTACTGTAATAAAATACACATATTTGTATTCAGCAAAGTCTCATGTGTAAAACAGTACCCCCTATGTACAGGTTTTATGGCATTTTGGGAAGTTACAGGGACAAATATAGCACGTTCTTTTGAAATTGAAATTCGCCAGATTGGTTACGTTGCCTTTGGGACTTTATAGTAGCCCAGGAATGAAATTTACACCCATAATGGCATACCATTTGCAATAGTAGACAACCCAAGGTATTGCAAATGGGGTATGTCCACTCTTTTTTAGTAGCCATTTGGCCACAAACACTGGCCAAAGTTAGCGTTAGTATTTGTTTGTGTGAAAAATGCAAAGAACGCCAATTTTGCCCTGTGTTTGTGACTAAGTGGCTACTAAAAAAGACTGGACATACCCCGTTTGCAATACCTTGGGTTGTCTACTATTGCAAATGGTATGCCATCATAGGGGTAATTTTCATTCTTGGGCTACCATAGGGTCTCAAAGGCAACGTAACCAATCTGGCGAATTTTAATGTGAAAAAAATGAAACGCAAGCCTTATATTTGACACTGTAACTT